GACGTGTGAAATTAAATACTCCTGGTGCCTTTTGAGTGCCTAACAAAAAGAAACAGAAGAGGACCTTAAACTGAAGTTTCCTCCTTTTCACACGATTTTCATGGAACATAGTGGATGGACAGTAACAGAGCTATGCATGTAGTGGGATACGCATGTTCTGTACGTCATTCCACTTGTGTTCATTAAAGGGATCGCTGACCTCAGCAGCCCCTTCACCAGCAGGAAGGGTCTAGCTGGCTCATACCTCACGCTGCGGCACAGCACATTTCTTCCCCGATTTTTCAGGACAGGAAGTGAGAAATCACAAGGCTTTTAGATACTGCTTTCCAGTACAAAAGTACTTAAAAGGAGTAACTGCTTAGAGCTTTACTACGAAACACTTAGCATAAAAATATAACCTCCTCTAGGAAGCATTTAACAGCACGATCCATACAATCTAAGACTGCAAATTCGAGTTGTATCTGGGACGTTTTCTCTCTTCTTACTGCTTTGCCCTTGTGCCTGTCCCTCACTAATGTACGCTTAATTGCATAGCTCCTAGAAAAGTCAGTGCATAACACCACAGGCACTGTTCCCTGTTCATGCGAAAGAGGCATTTCTCTTTTGAATATTGCAGTCCTTTCTCCTATGTGCTGGGTTTTTTTCAAAATGTTGCTACCAAAGCCAAAACAAAACAAAACCCCCTCTCATCAGGTAAGAGATATGCCCAACTAAATCTTCTCACTGTCTTCCAGCTAGTAATTCCAACACGTCATATTCAAACTGTTTGTCATTTCCGAGGTTAAGCAAGAGACTCCTAAGAGACATTCGTCCCTTTTCTCTTTTTCTCCTGTACCACTTCAATACCCTGTACGATTGCCTCCATAGCTCGAACTCTTGCATGCTTTCTGCAGTCCGCTAACCTGCTTTTCTTGAGGCACTCTTCCTTCAAAGCTATGAATCAATTCATGACACAACTCGTCAGACCTCTTTTTTAACGACCTAAACGCACTGTTACAAAACAAAGTTAACTTACTCAGATGCCATAAAACATTCTGTAAAAAGCTACCAGATTTCTGTTCAGGGCCAGTTGCTTTCCAGTTCTTCTGCTGTATATCGTAGTGCCATCCCTTCAAAGTTCACTTCTGCCCTTATCACCAGTGATAACAGCCTGGTTCACTAACTCAGCTGAAAGCAACAGAACTATTTGAGGATGAAAACACTACTTGCTACAGAGTAAGGGGGCAAAATTAGCAGAGCAACAACTAGATTTGTCACAATAGCATTTTCTCACTGCTGTATGTCGGATCCTCATAGCAATCCATGAGGGGAGTCTGAAATAGCGCCACTTGACGGCCAATGTGCTATTCTTTCCTTGTAACAGAATGCTTTTGGTTTTCAAACAGGACTCGGAGGAACCAAGTACATCTCCTTTGAAGAACGGCAGTGGCATAATGATTGCTTTAACTGTAAGAAGTGCTCTCTCTCATTAGTGGGTCGTGGCTTCCTCACGGAAAGGGATGACATCCTTTGCCCTGAATGCGGGAAGGATATTTAAAGCTCCAAATAAGAGGTGGGGAGAGGCGAGGAAAGCCGTGCTTGCAATACATAGTCTGAAATACACGGATGTTCAGAACTAGCTTTGCCACTCTGTGTTGCGCTGTACTATTAACATCACTTAACCTTTTTCTTCAAACTCTCCAAACCTGGAGGGCAAACATCTTCAAAATCTCTAGTAGCAGCGTTGGTGTTTAAGATTTCTACAGCTAACCAAAACTAACGCAAAATCTGAAATGTATAAAACCATTTGGGTGTTATCGACATAACATACTCTCTTTGTGTTGGTTTTTTCTTTTTCCTTCCACTAAATATTCCAGTTACAAGGAATTGATGTAGTTCAAGGATTACAATGGCCACACAACACATTCATAGATGGATATTCAGGGTGAAACCCTCAGCCCACTGAAATCAATGGCAAACACCATTCAATGTCAATAAGGCTGTGGTCTCGCCTCGGTGTTCTTGAGCTGTGTGACTAGCGTGCGCCGTCAAGTGTGTAGTAGAAAGACTGCGAACGTAGAGGGTGTTTCAATGTACAAGGATCTGTGCCATGCCAGAAAGATAACGATAAAACAGTTGAAGTGGGAGTGCCTGTTAAGGTACCGATTTTATTGCATGACTAGCTGATCATTGTGTGAAGTACAAGTTCTGATGGACAGTGTCAGTATTACAGTTAGTCGACATTACACTGCACATTGTATTTTTCAAAATAAAAATCATTTAAAACAAAATGGTGATCGTGGTTTAATTGTATTTACACATTAGATATTTACAAATAAAATGCCTTCACAGTCTGAAGAAACACAACCTAAGAGTCATACAAACACAACCCTTTTTGCATTCAGTTGTTATGAAACCGTGGGGCTTAGACAATCCTCAGGTAAGCCCTGCTGATACAACATAGTTTTCCACTAACTGAAATCTGGGGTGAGAGTTATCAGCAAAACTGTACAAATATGAAAGTACTGAATTGACTGCAGTTGATAAAAATGTGTTCATAGGCTCTAAACCCAAAACCAAAATATTGTTTTTCTCAGCAAGCAAGGAGGTCAAGACAACTCAAAAGACATTTATCTTTGTAAAAGTCAGAAGTTTAACTTCTATACTAAGGTATGCTTTAATTTTGTTCTGTATTGCAATACATAATACCCTTTGCTCTAGCATCATTTCTGCGGCATGTTTGCCTCAAAGGCAACTGTCAGTAACAGCATGCTGGCAGGACAGTAAAATCAAGGGGAAACAACCCAAAGGAAGACAACTCTCTTAGGGAAACAAACTTCAAGAAATATGGCCACGTTATGCAATGTACGATGCTGGTACACCTTCCAGATGGAATTCACTTGTATCCAGCAAAAGGAGGAAAGTAATACGTCACAATTTCAACAGAAATCTTCAGATGTGGAAAGAAGAATTAGAAATATACTTACTCTGTCTGTAACTGGGTAGGAAAAGTTTGCTCCTAGTTCCTGCCGCCACTCTTGAATTTGTCTCTTTTTGTACCAAGTGTAGAGTGCTCACAGGTCATTCCTCTCATCATTTCAACATGCTAAAGAGATGCATCGATCAGATTTGGTTTACTGTACACCATTTGGAGAACTTGGCTGGCTGACATTTTTGAAGTGCACACCGTGCTCACCTGATCTCACCGAATGACTAGTTTCTATCCTTCGGTGACTTCATTCGATGATGAAGGCTATAGTAAAGAACAGCCATAAAAATCCCTCACGTATCCACACCTCCCAAAGGAGGGCCAGCACCTCACTCACTCACTCTCTCCTCTGGGGTCCGGCAATCCCCCAGCATGCTGCAGCTCTGCTCTAGTACTTTGCTGAGAGAAGAAGGGTTACTATTAGCTAAGGGGGCAGCAGAAGGTGGTAAGAGCAGCACAGCTTGCACCTTGCCCCCCACCCCCCGCCCCGAGCGCTACAACAGATGACAAAATGGTCCCAGCTTTGGGGAAAGGTAGGTGAAACACGACAAGGCCGGAAAGCATACCAACCCGAAACCAAGGCTGTTAGCATGCAATAGCAGCATCAGGCCATTATTCCAGTACGCTTCTGCAGGACACTGCTTAACACATACCAACACACACGTGCTCCTAGCAACGGGAACTACAACGAAACACAGCCTAGACTCTAAACCACCGCCAAGAAGCCACCCACAAAACAGAACTCCCACCCGTCTGTTACGTGAGTGCAAGGACCAGCACTCCACCTGATACTCACAAGTAGCAACTGAGCCTTTTACCCTGTAAGCTTTTTCTTAAGTTCTAATCACTTCAAGTCCACTGAAATAAAACTGTATAAAATGAATAAGCTTAATTACATCACAAAAACAAGTCAGCACTCCTTTGTTTGCTGTTAATTGAATTTATTTAAATAGGATAAGGCTACTTAAAAGACAACTGTTTACATACAAAATGTACATTACGTTAAAGTTTGCTGTACTCAAGTACAAAAACTGCACAAGTGTTTAGTAAAAGGGAAACAGCACACTATTTCAAAACACACATTCTTACCATTTTACAGCATTCGAGAAGTGCCTTTTATGTCACAACAGTGAACGGAGAACTTCTGTCAGCAATAAATTAAGCTACAGTTTTTGGTTGCAACATTAACCAACGTTAAAAATGTAAACAAGCTTCCAGATCACTACTGACAGCTCCTTTTAGTGGGTTAACTGAATGGATTCAGAAGTTCATTCTTTCTTTGTTTTACTAAGTCTGGGAACATTATTATTATTTACCACCCATATCTAAAATGGATCTAAATTGGCTTCACCATGAGCCATTGAGATTTAATCAAAATGTTTCCATCAACTTAACCGGATTTCTGCCTTGTAAGGCACTACCAATAATCCAGATGAAATACCAAGTTTCACAGAAAACCAACATCCATCTTAAATCATCAAAGGAAGGAAAAACAGGTTGGGTTTGTGGGTTTTTTTAGAGTGCAACTACACAAGCTAATGCTCTCAAGGTACTCTTTGTCTTCCTATCCATCTCCCTCTCCAACTGTTAGTAAGTTGAGAAAGCACTGGCCTGCATTCCACAGGTGTTCCCCATATTTTATAAGCATGATTGTAACCAGGAAAACAAGCAAACTTGCTACATCGGCACATTTTACACTTAGGCATGTATAAAATATGCCTGTGTATTTAAGAGAACGTGGCACTAATCCATTCACTACTTCCTTTCAAAGATTCATATCAAACGGTCTAATAACATATCTCCATCTGTGCATTTCCTATTTTGTACGTCAACAAGAGAAACTTCAATTTGAAGTAATGCTGTTAAAATAGTTCATCTCTTATTACCAACCTAACTTGCACTGTAAATTCCACACTCCTGTTCCGTGCAACAAAGAGGAAAAAAAAAAAAAAAAAATTTGTCTCAAACTATCTTACCAGCAGAATAGTCAGTTTTCTCATCTAAATGAATTACCTTTTTAAAGCCAAGAAGGCTCTTGGGATCACTCTGAATCTCAATAGCTATTTTAACTATTTAACCAGAAGTGGAACAAAACTGAATCTTACCAAAACAAAAAATAAATACACGTTTCTATCTGTGAATCGTAGTGACATGCAGGAGATGAACTATAATAATATCGAAAACTAAAAGTGAGGGGTTTAGTATATCGTAATATTACCACATTTTAAAGAAGTAATGAACTATCTGGTGTACAAAAGTAGACACTCTTAAGGTGACTGGTGATAATGACTCCAGCTTTACAGCAGGGAACTTTTAAACTTGTTAAAACTTCACAGCAATCTGAATCCCTGTAAGGTTTAGAAAGAATTGTACTTAAACTCTTTAAATATGACTTATCTGTTTGAAAATATGGAAGTAACATTTATATTTCAGGCACCATTAGCTACTTCATGGCCATGTCACATGCTGGATTTTCTTCTTTGCTTCTGTAGGCTTTAGGTCATTCTGGAATACAAAAAAACATGTAAGTATTCTTAGATATACTGCACGAGTCAAAGTTAGTAATTAACCTGCCATATTCAAATCTAGTACTGACTACTGTGATATCCACCTATATGCTATTACAACAGCTTTCTATTGCCATCTTGTGGAGAAAGTTAAATATCGCAGAACTTCTCTAAAAAATAAAGCCATACTGATTCTTCCTGGCTGCATCACTTATTATGCAATACCAGGTTCTTTAATTTCAGACAGTAAAGTAAGATCCATACAACACACTGGCCTAACTTCAAACGTGTCTGACATTAATCAAGGCATGACTGAACTTACGGGTATTGATTTGAACATAAAACTGTGGCTAAGGTAGAAAGTGTCAGAAGTCACAGCTTCTGAGTGTCAGTTACACAGTGTCACTTAGAAGTGTTCATCATTGTGTCTGCGAAATCTTTAAATTAAATGCAACGAAGGTATGAGGTGTATACTAAAATTTCAAAAGCTCTGTAGGTTCAGATCTCACCAATACTTGGAAGAGTTCTAAATACTAAAGTTAGTTAGTAATAGTGGTACTATGAAACACACCCCTCCAGCATAGATTTGATTCAGGGCCTCAGCCATGATTCTTGCAAAAGTTGCTGAAGCTGTCCTTCAGAACAGCCACGTGCTGAGGTGCTCATATTTAACAGAAGTCTGATGGAATCTAAATCCATGCAACAAGGGCACTACCTGCATTCTTTCATGAATGGATTTTTAAAAGGAGAGTAATAGAAAGAATTTCATGAGGCAATATCATAAAAAGAGAAGTTAGGTTTGGTGGCCTGGGTAAATTTTAATCAACGTAATTGCACACTACATAGCTAAAGCTCCCCCTGCAGTTCAACTGGGAACAGATTATTTCTGTTTGTTCCTTTGAAGCCCAGGCTTATTCGATATTCCTGTATTGCAGTGGAAATGTGAAAATTCCGTGATTCGCATCATGAAGGAATACATCACAAATCTAAGACTTACTTTGCAGTATGTTTTAAAGAGGAGATGGCCCATAGATCCTTGCTTACTGACAAGCCCTTAAAGACTAAACACACCTTTGTCAAAAATAACCACTGTCCGATCTTTCTCCCCAGCTGGCAGCTACATTCAGCACCATTACCTGCATTTTCAAAGATATGCCCTGCTGAATTCATATATCCTGCCTTAGCTCTTCTCCCATCACTTCAGCCTCATTCTGTGCTCATCTGCACAGCAGTTCCCTTCTACACAGAAAATTTGTTTGCAGCTGAACCTAACTTTCAGAAAGAAGGTAACTATTTACCGTTACGGTTAACAGCTCAGTCAACAGTCTTCACTTGAGAACACCACCCTTCTGTTCAAGATTTCAGCATGCCTTTCTCATCATCTTATAAAAGCCCAGGTATCTGATCAAGATCACCACGGCTCAAAATGAGCACTTGACCCCTGGCCTCTCACTTCTACTAGTATGGTTTGTTGTTATGGCTTCTCGTACAGACCCACAATCTAGGCAGCTCTCCAGATTTTCACATCCCGTTCCTTCCTCTAGCTTGCCAATTCCTATGTGAGATTTAAAACAGATGGTGTTCTTCCTCTAAGGATACATTCTGCATCTCAGTTCAGCTCCTGTAACATCTCCTCCTTCGCTTTGACAAATGAAAGCTTGTCCTACTCAACCATTCAAGTGTGATTGTTACAAATGTTATCATTCTCTTTTTTTTTTTTCTTCCCTACTACAGAAAACAGATCACTTGTCCTCCCTTTAAGGCTGTTCATGTTGCTCTATAAAACCTGTTCTCTCTCTCAGACCTAGCAGTCGGATTCTTTTGTTTGTGTTTTGTTTGACTGCTGCCAGCACCACCTTAAGTACTCCCTGCTTACTCATTTTAAAATTACATGCATGTAATACAAAGCATACAAAGCTTCCCACGGAAAGTTTCACATGGATGAGTATGAAGTACTTGATTTCTTTCCTTCTGATCTCTGCCAAACCAGCTACAATTTTGCCTGTTTCTAAATAGAGAGTCTACTATTACTCCAAAATAAAATAATCCTGAAAACTCTTACAAGAGTCTACCTTTGGCTCCTGCAAGTTTCAAATTAAAAAAACAGCTGCACAAGATATTGAACGTACATACCGGCAAATCAGATTCTTCTTTTGGAACAGCTCTCTTTAACTTCACAACAGTAGTTCCTGCTACTGGAGACAAAGGGTACACCTTCAGACTAGCCAACACACTGCTGTTAGTCTTTGAAACATTGTTTTGCTTAGCCTCATTATTCCTCATTCCCAGCTTAGCGTCCTCTGAGAAACTGGAGGCTGAAATGTATGTTGAGGCATTTGAAGAACCTGATAATCTTCTAACAGTGTTAGTGGTGCTTCCAGCTGGAGGAGGTTTTAGGCGATCAGCAGCTCCATTCTCTGTCTTCTTCACCTTTATGCTTGTACTTGTGGAATTGCCGTCAAATACAATTAATGGTCGTTTCCTTAAACCTTCCACTGTCGTAACACTGAAAATACAAATTGTAAAATTCTCAGAAACATAAGATAGATGGTCCAAAAATAGCATACCCGACATGAGTAGTGGAAATTAATTTAGTCTTGCCTGAACTAAAAATATATCCCAAAACACCAACCTTAAACTCTTAGCTGCTCCAAACTTAGGGAATACAAATTGCTTCCAAAATGTAAAGGGGGGAAGGAGGCAGAGGGTTGTGTGATGAACTTTCTAAGCAGGCAATTACAGTTGTAAGACCAAAGACTGTATGCTTCTACCACTGTAGCTATTCCAGAGTAACTAAAGAGATAATAGTTGTTAAATATTTCAAGAGGTGAATATTTGAAAAAAAGTGTGTGCCACCTTACCTACAGGAACAGCATCTAATATTCTGATGCTTCTAAATCTCCCTGTTTCCCCTCTTATTCAAAATCATAATGTTACGATAGCCTAAATGACTGTTAGACAACGAATAAAAACATTAAGCAAAAAAAAGCATACCTGTTTTTGAAACAAGATGTCTTCGAACAGGAACCCTAAACTGATTTAATGACTATCTTTTTTAACAGTTTGTGCCTTTAAGCCTATGTGTAGTCAGAGCTGGACAATTTAGTAACAACTGATTCATGAAAAAGGAATACTATCATGTCAGTATCAAAGCAGTGGTATCAGAAAACATCCTGACTGCCAAAAAATAAAGCACAATGTTATCATAGCTCACCCTACATGAATTTAGAGTTTTAAAAAAAGAATTGCTCAAGAATGGCAAAAAGAAAGTGTTCAGAAAGTGCAGCTATTACAAACAAACAAAAAAAACAAACCACCATTAAGTTATATAATATTCCTGTTTAGAAACTTCTGTTTTCAGTACACACTGCTTAATCATCTCATATTAAACAGAGGATTAAAAGTTGAACTGTAGTGTTTTCAACAATTAAATACATTCATTAATTAACAATATTGATGTTCGACATCAACAGACTTCAAAATAAGCTGCAAGAGGAGACTCAACTCGTTTGACTTGGAACAACACTAGATTAGTAGCTGCTGATAAATGTCATATTTAAATTACACTTTGCTTGCAAAATTTCTGTCAAGACCGGGGGTTTCTTTAAAAAAATGAAAGGAGTCACAATGTAGGCAGTCATAGAGCAAGAGAAAGTCTTACTCAGATTTGCTTCTACATTACTATCTGTCCACAACATGTGTCACACAATCCTCCTCCTCTTTTTCTATTCATCAGGTTCCCAGAACTGACAGACACAAAAGAGAGACCTTTAATTCATTTGGGACTTGTTTGTCAAGAGATCAGACACAACTCGGGGGGTGTGTGTGTGTGTGTATGTGTATATATATACACATACACCCACCCACCTATTTTATATCTGTATCTATATAGAGATAAAATACCTACATTATATCTACAGTAGATGCGGTTTCTAGGAGAGTTTCTACAAAATGAGATTCGCTTCCAAGACTGGGACTGTTCAGCCAGTCACGCTGTTTCAGCTAAATACTACTGAAACAACAGCAGTATTTAACACACCCATTAAATTAAGGAGTATAATTCCACTTGAAAGGCCTAAAAAGCTGACACACACTTCAAAAATAAAACATGGTACTTTTTGCTCACTTTGGCTTTGTCCAGGGATTTATTCGACACTCATGAAAGGAACACATCCCCCAGCAGCCTTTTTGGAAAGCTAGTTTACAAACTATGTGGTGAAAGAAAAGATTTTATTCCTTTTTTCAGTCACCTTCGTTAACATAGTAAGTCTGCTTTTCCTATGGAGTTTGTTGTGGTTTTTTTTTAAATTCAGCTTGGTGAAGTCTGGCAAGTCAGGAGCTAACTGCAATTCTAGGAGAATTGTTATCTATTCTAAACTGAATTCTAGCAAATGACCACATGCTACAATACAGCTAACATTCCCAGAGAAACACTTTGGGAAAGTTCCAAGATAAATTTGGATCCTGTACCATCAAGAACTGTCACATCTAATTTTCAGATACAGGGCTCATGGAAGAACACAGAACCTTGGGTGTGACATTCACTTTCTTTATGTAAAGTACAGGCAGCTTAAAAGCTTCAGTGTAGGATTCATGTTAGCCAGCGCTCTTCTGAGGGAGGACACTGACCCTAGCTAACAGCTGAAAAGAACCATTTTGAGATCGTGTCCCCTCCTGCAGGACACTCTCTGCGAAACCCAGATTTCAATGCACATCTCCTGCATCCTAGAGAAATGTTCCAGCTACGCTTTGGGCTGGGCTGGATGGACAGCATGCTCTAATCCTGCTGTTTACTTTGTAGCATGTGATAAAGAACACAAGATTTACCAGAAGAAGCAAAAGCTTCTCTACATAAGCAATCTGGGTTTCCACCGTTTCACATGATTACTCACGTCACCAGGATGGCCTCTGAGCCATTCCTGATCATGAGGACAATTTAATGAAAAATTAAAGCCTGGTACGTAAGGTAGCACCCTAAAACCAGAAAGAAGTTTAGGTTTTAGCTCCCACCCCCCCGAATATCATAAATGTTCACCTGTTACCAAAACGGGCAGGTGAGTACCTCTTCTGTGAATGTCTGAAACTTGTCAGAAGTACCATGTTTTACACTGAACTCAGTATTACCAGAGCATTAGCAGTTCTCAGAGGGTGCTGAAGTGGCCTCTCAGGTGATTAGGGTGAAATGATGAGCTCTACCAAGGCCACAGCTCTGACCACGCACAGCCACAGTGCTCCTGGAGACTTGGCTTTGCAGGTGAGTCTTCAGACTTGATGGCACTTCAGAAACTGTGTATATGTTTCGAGATTCACACCACCCTCTTTCTGCCAGCAGGCAAGATGACCTTATAGATTGACAAAATTAACTGCCCCTGAAAGCAAATACTTTCTGAAATGTTTGAAGTTCGACAGACTGCATTTCGTTTTATCTCGTAAGATCGCCTGCAAGTTCAAATATTCAGTAACAAGATGTACAAACCGTCACCTGTGACCTCAGATATTCATTTGTATTACTGAGGCACGCAGCTCAGCTGATATACAGCAAGTCTTTTAGGACATATCATCAATCACCAGCAGGAAAACTAAACACAATATACAACACTGACTTTCAAATTTCGGTGTGTCTTTACCTCCTCTCTGTAACTACTAGAGTCACACAAACACACACTGAGCTGGTCTGATCAAGTCTCCAAGCCTCATATTCATTCCAGTGCACGTTGTAAAGCTCTGCTCTTTGTGGAGGAACGCATCAGAAAGCTCCTGTTGTTCACATGATCAATCAGTTTACCTGACTCCTAAACCGAACTAACGGCACACTTAGTTCCCATCTCCAACTCGCACATAACTTACAGCCTCACAATACCTAGGAATTTTGTTTTTAAAAACAAGAATGCCAAGTTCTACTCCCTCCTTTGCATAACAGCATCGTGCCAGTTCTGCTCAAGTGGTGCACACAACTATGAGGAAAAGTGTAGTATTTTCACTTCTTTCCATCAATATACTAAACCTGAAGTTTTCTCTGCGCAACTTTTGCTTACTGAAAGAGCTGAAAGTCTATTTCTCCCATTTCTCTGGGGTTAGTAATACTAGCAGTAAAAGATTAATTTCCCTAGACAGTATTTTGCCAGCATATTTGTTAAGTATGAAAGATGTAATGCAAGCAAAAACAGTAACTGTTGGAAAATCTTAACACTGTCTGACAACAGAGCAAAAGACTAAGCCTAGTATGCTAGACGTTACATGCTAAGAGCAACTGGTAAAGAAAAGCAGACTGGTGGATTAACTTATCTCATTTTACTTACTATTTTCCCAGCAAATACTACATAGGTTTAAGCATTACTGAATTTTAGTGTACCAAAACAAGAGCCCTTAAACTTATTCTACATATAAACTCTGTATGAAGCCATTCTCCCATCTGAAATTTAACATTGCCTCCTTCTCTCAAAAACATCCAGCTTGCTATCTTTATTTCTTTGATAAAAAAAATTTTTGCACCTATTTCAGCACACCAACATTTTCTTATTATTCAAACACTAACCTCGTGCTTCCATCCTCAGGTTGTAAGTCGTAAACAAACTGAGGGACAATAACCTTTCATGCATGTGGAAAAAAACCCAACTGACAGAAGACAACTCAGTGTCCTAGCCTCTGCTAAAAAATTAAAAAATTAACAACAAAAAATCACTACTTGACAGAATTTGTTTAGCTCTCCCCAGTTAGAAACCTCTAAAAAAATCTCTAACAGACTCAATAAGCTGTAATACTGCAAAACTATAGTGAGAATTTCCATCCACCTTTCCTCAGGATTCTTTAGGAAGCTAAATCAGAATGCTGCACATCACACGTCAAAGTCTTGGGCAGGGGGACGGTTGGGAGGAGAAGAAACCCAGTAAAATAATCTTTTGAGGAAGATTTTGCTTTCTGACCAAATACAAGAAAGATTTGAAAAACAAGGCAGGGTGTTTCAGAAAGATGTTAGTTTTGCATTGGACACACAAAACTGCTGTGGTGTACACCTCTAGAGAAGACCAAGCCCATCCAGGGAGCAAGCATACTTAAACACGCTTTTGGTACTTTTCTTAAACACTGTAAACACAATTATTATTTAACAATTATATGGTGAAACAAAAAACAATTTTCTTTCATTATAAAGTACCTTGAAATGTACCAATAACCTGGTATCAATACAGGCTGGGCGATGAGTGGATGGAGAGCAGCCCTGAGGAGGAGGACTTGGGGGTGTTGGTGGGTGAAAAACTGAACATGACCCAGCAATGTGCACTTGTAGCCCAGAAAGCCAATGGACTCCAGGGCT